CAAAGAACAAACCTAGTAAGTTTAAAAATGTAAACAAGCAGAACTAACTGTCAAATTGATTTTGATTTCTCAATTCAACACAGCTGGTTCAAACCTTATTAAATACTGCACGAATATTAGAACAGAGAGGGTAAGGATTATAAATTTAAAATAATGATGTCACTAGCCTGAATTTATTTAACATTACCTAAAGGAGCTGTCAAACCATATGTTAATGTAATTTCATTATTATAGGATTGTTTCAGTTACAGTACTTCATTTGTTTATGATCTAACTATACTGAGTCTGTTATAATATTTGTGAAATGTTGTAATATTATTTATTTATTTTTATAATAATTCATTTTAGAATAAATCATTCAATGGATATAGGAAATAATCAACATTCTATATTGCCCTATCAACCTAGGCCCTTATCCTGAGTTATGGGGTACATTCTTTTGATTTATTTGTTTGTAAACAGTAATATAATCCCCCTGCCCCAGCAAACCTATAGACTGAGCCAATTCCCGTTTGCCTGATTATAATTTCACTAAAATATGTTAGAAAATTGCCATATTAACATGTTTGGAACTATTGTGATAGGTTTTCGTTTACAGTGCATACCATTAAACACATTCTTTTATTATAGGTATATGTGTGCCAAACTATAGGATACCGTATAAATTAAAAGACCATATTTTCTTAGACCGTTTCCTCTCCCATCACTGCAATGATCATGTTCTACTTATATGCCAACCCCGTACGAAGGTCGGGTATTCTACTTGTTATTAATAAAGTTGAGAATACTAAAGGTTCTACAAAACAAAACATTGAATAATAAAAATACATTTGTATGAAAGTAACAGATAGATTGACAAAATTGTAAAACGATCGTATAATATCTAACAATATCAAATTATTTACAGTATCACGGTTACAACTTTTAAACTACTTTTGTTATGACTCAATGTTAACCTCTTTAGGACCTTTCATTTTATGCTTTTGTTAGTGGGGACTGGTTAAAACACCACAGTAGGTTTTACAAATATGATTGTGAGATGATATTATAATCTGAACTAGATTATGCGTGTTGATAATAATATGTATTTTAATTTAAGTACTTTAATAGATTCGGTTATATGTTTACCTCATATAACATTTGAACATGGATTGAAACATTAGATGTCTTTGGAATACTCTGAGAGTGAGAAGCAAAACATAACTTTCAGCAATGATGCATCGAAATCTACCTTTACTGACTGATTCAGAAATGTAATTGCAAAATATTTTGTCAACATGACTAAAATGTTAAAAAAAATAGATGTATCAGCACGAAATAGTTTGTAAGATAAAAAAGCAGTCTAGGACAACTTATATAGCGTTCTAACCTCAAACATTGTTATCGTTTCAGTGTACAAATTCAATTGATACAAAATAACTACGTTACCAATTTATGTTTGTAAACAAAAATCAATTTTTTAATGGTTTCGTAATAGCTATTTACATTACAAGTGTAGTAAGAGCGTTTTTACTTCACGCAGGTGAATGTTGTGCAACGAGCGGAAGCGAGTTGCATAATTCACCTAAGTGATGTAAACAGCACGCTCTTGCGTAACGTGTAACGTACAAGATTTTACCTGACCCGACAATAAACATGGGTTTACGTACAATATTTTTCATTATCCATTTCACTCATCTTCTATCAGTAACGTTCTTTTACTAACAAAAGCTAGGTTAGGTAGGAAAATACTTTAAAGCATAATAATAACATTCAAGCGCACAGCTGATTTCTAGCGTTGAACATCGTTGGCTCCATAGAGTTATATTTTTTAAGTTAAGCACTCAATGTTATTTAAATGGGTTTCTTTACATCACCGAGTGAGTTTTTTTAAACTTTACATCACTCGAGAAGTAAGGAAGTTGTATACATCACGCTTGGGATAGGGAAGTTTAACATGGCGGGTTAGGTAAATTAATTTAAATTATTATTTACTACACAAATTATTTGTAATGTAAAACATTGTTCACCACTCGGAGCAAAAGTATATTATTTATGGTACTTAAATTGTTTTATAGTACGTGGCAGTATAGTATTATTAGTTTATTAGTTGCTTGTTGCACTGTTCTACACACTGCTCAAGCTCTACAGCTCATTAAGTGGCATCCTGTCCACACACTGTTGATATATACTGAATTGTGGCATGGTGCCACTATTTCGAGTGTAGGCTGGCGCGAGAATTGGCAACGTAGCATTAGGAAAGTTATAGTTCCGGCGGACGGCGCGAGGCGCGCTAGCTACCTGTATGGTTTCGTGTTCCACAATTCGGTGTGTACCTGCGCTACTTAAACTCACATCAACGAGTTCAAAAATACTCAATTGTGGCATGTGATGTTTAAACGACGTAATAATGCTGGAAAACCTCAAAAATGATCGAATTAGCTGTGGCACCCTGAAAAAGGTGCCACAATTTTTGAAGGTGCCACAGTACGGCCGTGTGCCTGTGAAGGATGCCACTATTCGGTGAATACAAACACACACACACACACACACACACACATACACACACACACACACACACATACACACACACACACACACACACACACACACACACACACAGACATCACTTTGAAAACCACTTTTTTGGGTCCAGGGGGACCCAAAACGAATATATCCACTCAAAACATAACTCGAAAATTTTGACGAAAACAATACTTTCTCCATATACTATGGTATAGGGGGAGAAAGTAAAAACCATCAAAACGTGACAGAAGACAATAAAGAGCTTTCATTCCACTCTTTTGGTTCTCATGTTTCAACGGAGAAAATCCAATATCCCTCACATGCGCTCTTGATAATACTTGCGTTTTTTTTTTTTTTTTTTTTTTTTTTTTTTATAGTCAGTCTGTGGCTGAAACAGTAGTTACTGTATTTGAAAACAATTTCAATGTTCCTTGTCACGGTACTGTTTGTTCTTTGTAGTAATACTATATAAAAAGCGGGTAAACAATTTAAGAAATTGTGTTCTTGCATCATATGTGAAACCAAATTGTAATTCTGTACGTTTACCAGACAATTTCGGAAGATATCATCGTAATCATCTGTTCTGCAAAGCTAAAATCGTTCGACTTGTAAGAAATATGCTGCTTTAGAAGTTTACAAAGATAAGTGTGAAGGGTTGATTATTTTCCTAAGGATTATATATCTGCCAATTTTTTAGTCCTAAGACGCTAGGCACGAGCCCAGATTTTTTTTCACATTACTTCAGGCTATACCTAGGGGTTGCGCCATTATCACATGGAATCCATTGGTGATTTTGCGGGATTTGAACCCGGGACCTCTGGAACCGAAGTACCGTGCTCTAACCACTAGAGCAGCTTGCTCCCCCGAATATCTGCCATAGTATTGATGTACGTTTATATATTTACTAAGAAGCTATTAATTTGTACTTTACTGTTTTGTAGTATTCACTAAAAGTAAATAATGATGCACAAATGTATCGAATTATTTCTAATCACTTATATGATGTCTCTCATTAAAAACTTTGATGCATAATATTAGTGCACACGTCCCGGTAATTATGCTATATCCATTATAAGGTCGTTGTTGATTAAGTTATTGCTAATTATACAAAGCATCGTACAGTTATTTGATTCCGCGCACGCTAATCAACAAAGCAATATCATGTAAATTAAATCGGTACTTGATATGGAAGCATCAACCACCATTTCAATTATCAATTATCAATTATCAATTATTTAAGATGGGGACGCCACTATGTGCGTATTTTAACCCAAATATGAGTGAAGGATGAGTGTAGGATGAGTGGCGCGATCTTGTAGTCTTGTTAGTGACTTGGGAATTACACACGTTTAATTGTAAATTCAGATTATATTACTTGAAATGCTTATTGGTTGATTAAACTATTCCATTCCATGCTCAAATTACTTTTACCATAATAATAGCTGATATTCCATCTTTTTTTGGTGTTCATAGTATTAACATTGACTATACAGAGAATAGACTTCCCTTGTAATGTAAAAAATTGAAACCAAAAAACCTTGTGTAATCTGTTGAGATAGTCAATTAATGACAATAATTTTGTTTCAAGTGATAAATCAATCAGCTGTTTGCTATGATACTGCATTGATTTTATGAGTATGTTTTATCTATGTCTCTAGTGAAATGCTCCTGAACTTCTATTTTCTTGGCTTAAAATTATAGCATAACATGGGATGTGTATTCTGTGTATAAGTTAGTCAATGGTATTAATCAATAAGTAGGTTAGGAACACATTGTTATCATCAACTCAGATACAAAATCCCTGTGTCAATACTGTCGTCTGTGACTAATCAGAACACATTACCATCGTTATTATCAGCTGGGAAAAACCAGTCTGATGGAGTTCAAGGGCAAAAACAAGGACTTCGCTCTCATGTCTTGGTTTTCCTGCTCGGGAATCTCAGTATAATCGTAAACTTATACTGACGCGACGTTCAGAGAGTCTTGACGTTGTGAACAATGTTGCGATCAATTTATCCGATTTTCTGTTTAGTATTAGGTAGGTTGTTGTGTCAATGTTACCACATTTTACTACTGTAGTTACAGTGATAGCTTTAAAATGGCCCTATAAATGTTATTATCGTACTATACTAGATTTGTTAGTTGTGTTTATTTCCTCATGGCTAAACTAAAGGTATTTCCAGATCGATGTCTTCTCCTCTTAGTGAATAGTTTTAATTTTTCAGTTCAAAAATAGTTAGGTATAGATAAAAATGTTTTCAGGTAAATATTACACTCTAAAGAAGTTATATCAAAAATAGTCTAGCATTACTGTGGCACAGCAAACATGTCAATCTTTGATATTATTACGGATTATATTGTTCTTTCCATCTACATCACAATGCATTCAGTTTAAACGTGTTTACTGTTTTAAACATATAATTAAAAACTTAATGATCTCTTTTGTTTATGTGTGTTTTTATCAGTTGTAGCTGAACCGAACTCAACAACCTCTAAGCATGGATTTATCAGGACTAAGAGACAAGGGTGAGTCAATCTATCTTTCTTATATATTTTGATATACTATTAAACAAAGTCATACCCTTTGAAATCAATAGATTATACAGTTGTTTATCTATAGATTTTTTTTTAGTTTTCCCTCGTATTGCAAACACTAAATCCAAATGATTGAAACCCAGTTTTTGGTAAACACACACACACACACACACACACACGTTGTATATGAGCATAAATCGTGGCATCTGATATGAGGTGTAACTCACAATTAATCAATCCAGCTTTTCAACATTCACAGCTCATGTTAGTAGGCCAGGCCTCTCTCATCAAGCTTGTAAATCAGATCTGACGGCGACGAAGTTTAACCCTCAATCCACGAAATGCAACACATTACTCGGTAATTTATCAGACCTTACGGTCTAACAGCACTAGTGTTATTTCTAGGGCATTAGGTTTTTTAACGTGTTTTGTAAAAAAACGTCGATGGTTCTGGGCAACTGCGGTTCCCTGTTTGATGTTCTAAAACTCTAACACGAAGCATTCTACTTTTTTTGCCCCCCCCCCCACCTTCGAATCCTAGAACACTAAGTTTTAGCCCGGAACTGTTTTACACGTTACTCTCAGGCTAGTCCTAGAGGGTTCTGGTATTATCACATAGATAAAATCCATTGGTGATTGGCGGGATTTGAACCCGGGACCTCAGTTAAAGCCTAAATCCCGAGGCTCTACCTTTAGACCAGCTCGCTCCTAACCATGAGCAAGGACAATGGAACTCGAGTGAATGATATTGTAATGGAAGGGGTCAAATATTGTAAAGAGGAAGTGTTTGGAAATGTTGTGTGAGTAGGCTAGAAGTGTTGTTAAACAATAGCTTGTTGTGCTGACCTACTGAAGGCTGTTGCTTTAAGTAGGCCAGTGCACTTGATCAAGGGGTCAGTTTTGGTGGTTAGTGTTTGTGTGGTGCACCAGAGGACGGGGTCCTGCTGGGGGAGCTGGAACCCAAGGCCCTTAGGCCTTGGGTCCAGGTAAGACAATGTTAAGGGTTTTCAAAATTGGGGTTTAGAGTCTTTTCCAAAATGGGGTTTCAGTTTCTAACTAAATGATTTATACAGTTCCAGTCTACTCTACCTTTTTGATTGTTAGTTTATCTTTGTGTTCTTTGTGTTGTTTTGGGTAATTAATAAAGTTGGGTTTTGTAAGCGAGTGCTGAGTTTCATTCCTGAGCTACGTCACCCAAAGTAACAGTGGGTATTTTAAGGGGAGAAATACCTACCGTTACAATATTGGACTATGTAAATAGCATTGAGAGGGAAGTATTCACAGGACTGAGTCAAGGTCAGCAAATTTTGATTACTATATTTAGGCTTTCTCCGCCTGAATCCTTATTTCCAAGCATAACAAAATACCAGTTTCCTACTTGTGCATATCGTGCAATAGGTGTAACACTAGAACTTGCAATCATGCGTCCCCAACTAAGATTCAGACCAACGGTTTATATTTATATATAAAAGATATATAAATATCTTTTATCCGTGAGTAGTAATATGGTAGAGTGAGTGAAGTTAAGCTTTTTTTTAATTAATTAGTTTAAAATAAGAACAAACTAATAAGAACTAAAAAATAAAGGAACATTGAGGACGGGTGATATTTCTTATCTGGTTGTTTACTATGTAATAGTATATTTCGTACCTAGGGCCGAAAATGAGGTTTTGCTGGCTCGAGATAGTTATTAAGTTCGAGACGAATTCGAGAACTTAAATCGATCGAGAGCTGCAAACCCATTTTCGGTCCGTGGTACGAACAATATTTTTCACCACACTACTACTATCCACAATAATACAGTAATATAGAAAACTGATAGGCAACGCAACTTTAAGGTTATGCGAAGAAGTAATTTCAGGAGTCAGCAAAAATAATAATAAACAGTTGCTAAGCAACGGTAAAAATAAAACAATTCTATTTCAATACTATGGATACTGTTTGTGTAATTAGTATGCAAGCGGACAGCTGATTTTGCGGCCCCGGGATGTAAAAACCTTCTTGGTCCCCAAATTACGATGACAGCTGGCATGGCCAGCAAAACGTAACGTTCAGCCACCAATTAACGTATGTAATACAGCCAAAAACATCATAGTGTGGTGAAATAGTATATTACGTTACCAGTCCTGGAAAATAGGCGTTTACCGGTTGAGTGTGGTCGTTCCCGTGCGAGACGGAGTCGAGTTCGGGATTACCATAGGGTAAACACATTTTGGACGAGTGACGTACGATATTTTACACCATACTACTCTAAGCAACCTTAACAAAAATATTCTGTACAAATCCTTATACTGTATATCCCATCAACTAAAGTCCTAACAATCACTACTCATAACCTCTAAGAGAGGCCATGTTTTGCTTATAACCACTCATTTCAAAATATAATCAGCTGGTTGGTGTCCGGTAAAAACTCAGTACAGTAGTACGTAATTGAATCCCATTTGATTAAGCTGGTGGCAAACAGCTGTTTTCTGGACTAAATCCTTGCTTGAAAAGTTCGTTAAAACAGTATAGTGTGGCGTAAAACCAACGTTTTACCTCTCTTATTGTTAATACAGGGCAGCTAAATTCAATCGGATGGAAATTATTGAAAGCTAAAAAACTTTTTTATCCATTGGGGATTGTGAGATTAATAAGCGAGTATAATAACCACTGAGCTACTTAGCTAACGCATTGATTATAATCATCTATGTTTACATTAGAGTTGGTCATGATTAGTTCCTTGTAATTATGCACTTAGTGCTGATTAAAGCCACCATTAGATAAGTTACACAAGTTAAAATCAATATGATCATGGTAAAAGAATATAATAAAAGAATTTTTGTTTATTTATTGATCTTGAATATGATATTGGGTTTATTCAATTCTGAACTGGTTACAATTGACTGCTAATCTTAATGTTTGCGGTATTATTTGAGCGCATACTAAACATAATTAATTCCGTAAAACATGTTTAATATGCGTGTATATCTGACTACGTTAACAATAATCACTGTGATTTGAATTAAACTTTGTGATTGTTTTTCTAACAAATATTTCCTGTTATTTTAAGAGATTGTTGAAGCCATTTTCCATTAAAAACTTATTGTTCACGATGTTTCTGGATGTCCTGTCTGAGCACGTCCTCAATTGAGGAAGCCCCTAAAATATACCAAGATTAGTACACCAGCTTACCAGGTTTGGCTTTGGTTGGGTTTGTACTAATCGTGTTAGGTTTCAGTAACTTTCTTACCTGAGTTAGGAGATTCTAGATGCCAAAACGTCACGAAAACCCTTGTTTTTACTAATTTTACTAATAAACTCACCATCACCAAAAAATTAGCTTTGACAATGATTGCAGCAGCCCAGACGAGAGGAGCTGTCTTCTCCCACAGCCAATGAACAATGGCAGATACTCACCCAACATCAAGAGATGTCCTCCCCACGTATCCAACGCCGCTTGCAGGATAGTCCCCGGGACCCCAGTACCCTCGGGGTGGGATCTCTACTACGGATGTGATGATGGGTTCGTCCTCAACTCTACCGATACTGTGTCCTTCTGTACGGATGGGAACTGGTCTCCGTCCTTGCCAGAGTGTATAGGTAAGACCTGGTGTGGATAAGATCAATAACTGTATTACGTGTACTTAATGTCTCGCCTTTACACCCTAGGACGCTGGGCTCTATCCCAGAAAAATTTTACATTATTTTTCCGGATAGGCTCATTGGGTAGAGGCATTATTACTTAGATAAAATTGGTGACTGATAAGATTCGAGCCTGTGACCTTGGGGACCGATGTCCCATGCTCTACTACTAGGACTGCTCGTTCCCTATAGCTCTAGACAGATCTGACTGCAAGTCATAATTTCAATATTCGTTTTGGAGTTTTACATATCTTTAACCCAGCTTAGACAGCACGGCTTACTCGTGTTATATTGTCCATAATGTATATACACATATGTTTAAGATCATTTAATTTGTCCGCTTTGCCTTCACGTTAGAAACGTTCATGCCATTGTACGGTCACTTACAGCATACTGTATATTACTTTCAGCAGTAACCGAAAATTGTCGTTGCATTGGTCTTGTTCTCAAACTACCTAAACAAGCTCGTAAAAATGTAAAATTTGGGTTATTGACGAACTGGATTTGGATATAGTTTGTAACTGTAATTCTTTAGTTTCAAAATAAATTTTGTTAAATGGGAAGATGAGAGGGGATTTTCAAGCTAAGAAATGATAATGAAAAAATATTAAAATTGTTATTCGCGTGTCTTTAGTGAAAAGTGATCTTTTTAGCGAATTTCCCTATAGGGGATGTAGCTATTACCGTAGGTCTCGTTGTAAGACCTAGACCCGGGACTGATTTACTTTTCCGTTTTGAGGTCCCCAGAGCTCAAAAACACAAATGTTTATTTATTTATATGTGTCCGTTAGCTCGATAACTCGAAAAATTATCCGATTTGGATAAAATTTTGTACAAACGTGTAAACCTACGTTTATCCGAACAAGATCGCGAACCAGCATAATCGGATTATGGGAACGGGGGTTTATGAGGGGTTTAATGGGGTAAAAATCGATTTTTCCCATTTTTTACTCTAAAAACAAAACATTTAATAATTTATTTAGAACCCATTTTGTAGAAATTAAAAAAAGTAATGACTTTGTATATTGAAGTGTTGTTGTATGCCTAACGGTTACGGAGATAATCCAAAAAATATATAAATTAAAAATTCCCATGTTATTCTTTTGGAGTATAAATAAACTGTTGTATTTGGCTTGTTTATCGATATATTTTAATGAAATTTGTCAATTTTGTTTATTTCATACACTAAGCTATCAACATTGGGTAGAGGATACGGTCACTCCTATGCCATCAGCTGTCAGGGCAGATGGGTTGAATTAATTGAGTTAAAGCCCATCAGCCGGAAACGGTGGTTTCCGGTGCAACGTCACATAGTGACGTCATAGGTGATGTGTAATTGGGGTGTATGAGGTTGATCATATGGTTTTCAAGGTCATAGGTTTGTGTTTCAAAAAAAGGAAGCTATTCTACACTTGTAGTGTAGGATAGCTTCCTTGTTTTGTTTATTGTTTATTTGTATAAAACATGAGGAATGAGAATAACTTACATACTATTACAATTAATAAGGAAAACATGTGCGAACGTACGTATCTAGAGTGAGTGTCTGCTAAAGTGTAAAATGAATGAGTTTATTGGTGGCCTTTATAAAGGCCGTTTTGTGGAGCTAGGCGACGCTTGTGTATTTGGATGTTTACTTCTTCAACTCCTCTATTGTATTATGGAGCTCTTTCCATCTTGCCATGTCTGCATTGTGCTCGGCCCATTCGATGTTGTCTCGAGGTTGAGCGCACCAAACACGATCAAATTTGTGTCGAATCTCTTTCTCCTCCTCTAGCAGTTGAAGTAGTTTTTCCTTTCGTTTTCGCTCTTGCTCTTCTGCCTCGATGCATGCTTGGTGTAGGTCAGAGTCTTCAATATCGCTTGTCCACTGTTGTTGTTGCTGTTGTTGTAGGTTGGCCATCTTGTGCAAAGTAAACGAGAAAGGTTGAGTTGACTGGTGAAGAGCTGGATGCCGGTAAAATATGGAAGAATGAGACTGGAATAGTTAATTTAGAAAACAGTGAAGGTTCTTGCACTCATTGGATATGTTATAAAAAACTTGATCAAATTATTTATTATTTCGATAGTTACGGTAATATGCCACCACCTAAAGAGCTTCAACGTTACTTTCGCACAGCTAAACAAGTATTTTACAACTACAACAGAGAACAACCTGACAATACAATAATTTGTGGACACTTATGTTTAGATTTTTTAGCTAGAAGTGTCAGTCAACTTTAAGATGTCTTCGTATACGGTCTCATTGACCGGCACTTCATCTACTCTGCGCAGTATTCTATTTCCAGCTCTCCGATTGCAAAAAGGAAGATTATGGGAAGCTGCATTATTCCAAGTCCAAGTGTATATGATTGTGGCGACTAGCGCCACGTCTGGGGGAAGTGCCTGCTCGCTGGGAGCATATACTTCCGGTCTGCTGTGGGTCCAAGCCCTATTAGCTCAACTACCTGTAGACGTCAACGTCGTTCCTGGGGGTTATTCGTTGATCTGGGGGCGGAGCTGCGGAACATCCTCAGTGACCAGGTCCCTGATATGTTCCCACGGAGAAACATCCGCCGTCTCTTCAAGTCTCGCTCGAAGGCCGTCGACGAAGTCTCGGAGAGTTGTCACTGCTGTGGAGTCCCTGATGACGGAGTTCCTCACGTAACAGGGTGAATCTGTCGCCTGCTGAAGAGCCTTGCTCTGGACGACGAGCAGCCTCCGTCTAGCGGTTCTGCAGTCGAGGTGGTACCATGCAGGGGCTGCGTACGGGAGGACAGGCCGAAGCAGGGCCGTGTAGAGTCGGACTCTTGCAGCCGTCGACAACTTCCGTGACCTGAGCAGCGGGCGGATGGCGCCAAGACCTTTCCTGGCGAGGTCGCAGACCCTCTCGACGTGGGGAGTCAGGGTGAGTCGCTGATCCAGCAGGACGCCGAGGTACTTCACCCGGCGCTTCCATGGGATGTCGGCCCCGTCTAGGTGGAGGTGTTGACCATCGTCCTGCCTCCTCGACCTCGTGAAGGAGATGGCCTCACTCTTGTCAGCGTTGACTTTGACTCGCCACTTCGTCAGCCACGGCAGCAACAGGTCCAGCTGTCGCTGGACATACACCCTGGACATCCTCAGGTTGGCGGAGGTGGCAGTGAAGAGCGCATCATCTGCATAGAGCGCATCAGCTGCACTCTCGACGCCAGGGGTATGTCGTTGGTGTACCACAGGTAGAGTATCGGCCCGAGAACCGACCCCTGTGGCACACTCGAAGAGACTGGCCGTGGTGTGGAAGTCACCCGTCCAACGGAGACCTTGAAGCGGCGAGCGGTCAGGTAGCTCTTGACGAGCCTGTAGATCGAGCCGGGTAGAGGGGAGGATGCCAGCTTGTAGAGAAGCCCCTCGTGCCAGACCCGGTCGAAGGCTTTGCTCACGTCGATCAGGACTGAGGTCGAGTGGTGCTTCCGTTCCATCGCTCCAGCGATGGTGTTGAGGACCCGCCGCAGCTGGAGGGTGGTGGAGTGGCCCCGCCTGAAGCCGTACTGCTCAGTCCTGATCGAAGAGAAGAACTCCTCGGGGAATCTCGCCAGGATGATCCGCTCCAGCATCTTGGAGAGCACAGGCAGGAGGGAGATCGGCCTGTGGTTCTCGGGGAAGATGTGGTCCTTGCCGGGCTTGGGGATGAGGATGACGTTCGCCAACTTCCAGGTGTCAGGGAAGTGGGCCAGCCTCACGCAGGAGTTGAAGAGGCAGGTGATCACGACAATCACCCAAGCCGGCAGGTTCTTCAGTGCTGGAGTCCCGAGGGAGTCCGGTCCAGGGGCCTTCTTCGGACGGAGTCGAGCGATGTGGCCCTTCACCTCGCTGACGGTCACGTGGGGGATGTCCTCGTCGTCGGAGTCCGGCTCGTAACTAGCGTCTAGACTGCCAGTGCAAGTCCGAGGAACGGAGGATCGTGGATCAGATCATACCGGCGCATCAGCATAGCTTATCTAACTGTTCGCGGAAAATTGTTATCTGTATCACTGTTGCTGTCAAAACGTATAATTTGTAGATTAAATTTGAATTAAATATAATTAAACTATCATAACCTAACCAAACTAACCAAACTTGCTGATAATGATAAACTCGAATGAAGGTTTACTAATCGAAAAATAGCTCTGTTCTAAAAAAAAAAATTAAAAATGTCTCAAATTCAATTTTACAATCTTTTAATTATAAAATTAAACTGTCATAACCTAACCAAACCAACCAAACTTGCTGATATGAAAAAAATTGTTGACAAAAAGTTAGTGCTCCCAGTGGGATTCGAACCCGGCACCATCAGATTATCAGCCCGACACGCTATCCACTACACCACAAAGGCTCATGACTCAGTTCGGTTCAGTATCGAATCGTTGCAGTAATGGTTGACGTCACGCCATCGGCACTGAGTGGTGGTGGGGGGTTTTTCGATCTGATCCACGATCCTACCGATCGGTCGTTCCTAGGAGTTGCACTGGCAGTCTAGATGCTTATCGGCTCGTAGGTCTCTACGAAGTCGTCAACAACCTCGCAGAAGTCCTCGTCGTAGACGTCCGGGTGTGGGGAAAACTGGTCTTCCAGCGAGTCTGCGAAGGTCTCTGCACGGTCTTCGGGCGAGTAGACGAGCCCGCGTCCCCCATGCAGCGGCCTGTTGTGGGTCTTCGTGCCTCGCAGAGCCTTGGCGATCTTCCAGATCCCGTCGTTAGTGTCAGCCTGGCCCTCGACGAAGTCCTCCCACTCCTGGGACCGATGCTCAGCCAGCAGTCGGGAGCACCTCCTGGCCTGCCGGTTGAAGTCCGCCTTCGCTCGAGGGCAGCGGGACTGTTGGTACGCCCTCCTCAGGCGACGTCGCAGGGTGATCTCCTCCCGCAGCCCCTGGGGAAGTGGTGGGGGGCCCTCGGGTCAACGTCAGAGCTGGCGGCAACCACAGTGTCCTGTAGCAGCGTTGACAGGTCCAGGACTTGCTGGTC